ACTTAGGCAGATGCTGGGGCAGTAATATTCCACAGCTAATGTTTCATTCTCTTCTGTCTTCATTTCGTCCGTCTTATCTTTCTCATCCGATACCACCACTCAGCCAATCCCACGATTCCTGAAAGGATGCGGAAAAGGCCCTTCCGCCCTACCTTCCGGCATATAGGGAATGTCCGCCCTCCAGCATTAGTGGCTGATGGGAATGAAACACCCAAAAGTTTTTTTGTGTATGACAACCGAAACAACGAAATTTCCTATCCTGAGCTAATCTTCGCATTTCCCGAAAACTAGAACCATCCACATCCTTAACTATTTGCAAACAATAATCTAATCTAAGTCTACCTCTACTCCTCCTAACTCCCGTTTTTGCCTCTAATATGTCTCTGACTAGACCTTCATGCCTGAGAAGGTGTCCTACTAACCTATCTCGCCTATTTCTTATTGACTCCCATTGAGTCCTCTGTTCTCCTATTCATTCTAATACCTTTTCTTTTCCGCCGCATTCCAAACATACACGTTTAACAATTTTTTTCGTATTTCTAAATTAATCGTTCACGAACATAGACGTGACTTCTTTTTATTGAAGGCGACTCGACCCTGAGCTATTCTCTGCTTTGTATCCCTACTATTCCTTCCGCCTGACTTATCTGACTTCCTAGATATCTAAAACCAACCACTTCTTCTAATTTTTCGTATCCTATCTTCATATTCACTTTTTCCCTACTTTTTTTCACTTGCATACTAGTATTTTTGTTTTACTTTTATTAATTATCATACAGAACTGTTTTGTCAATACCGGTTTCATTTTATTTAAAGTTATCTCTAGCTCTTCCTTGCTAGATACTAATACTGCTATATCATCTGCAAATCTAGGCATACTAATCTTTTGCCCCTCTATATCTATCCCTATAGTTGTACTGTCTTTAATGAAATTGATCGCGTCATCGATGTATAGATTGAAAAGTAGCAGTGACAGTGTGCATCCCTGACTGACTCCCTTCCTAATATTTACTTCTCTACGTTGCTCTTCTAGCTCTGTAACTGCCTGTTGCTCTTTATACTAATTAAGTATTGTTAATGACGCAAAAAAATTTAACGCTACGTAATTTTTGCGTACGTCACTGTAAATATCATATTGGATTCCAACTGGATCAAATCGTATTGTATTCTTTCATCATTGTACTTACCTTATTGAAAAAATAATTCATGGCTTTTCCGTGTCGACAAGCCGAAAGATCTATATGTATTTTAAAATAAACCTTATTTCGATTACTGCCGGTTATTAACCGAATGACTTAATTTTAGATCGAAATACCCAAAACTACTGTAAATAAATAATAAATCTGTTTTGTATCTGTTCTTACCTGCAAGATGAGGTAGTCGACCCAGGGAATGGTCGATAAGACTATACCCATTACTAATGTGAACAGTCCAACAACAACTACGGCTAACCTACCTGCAACAGAAAATTTAAATAATTAATCAATTATTAAACGTAATTGTTGTAATAATGACTCGAACTACGTAACTGTCTTTCTTCTGTTTACTTATTTTTAAAAGCAGTTATGCAAAACAATTATACCTTTGTCAAGATAACATTAAATGTTAATGGAGATTGATTAACCTTTTTAATTACTATTGCAATTTCGCTAACTGCAATTGTGCATACTTATTTAATTACTTTATTGATTAGTTAGCATGCAAGTTAGAAAAACTTCATAACGCTTCAGTATCTAATGGTGATGAATTACAAAGGGGGGCGCGCAGAGAGATACAAGTGCCCACTTCTGTTTTGTAAAAAACAAAAAACTGTTTTTTTTTAGTTCCAATTTCAAATAATTCTCGCAGAAGATAATGCCCTGAATATCAAAAAACCGATCAGAATTTGCTTTATCTTGGACTTGGACATCCTTGCTTTTAGTAGTCGCTCTCTCCTTACTATTGACAAGTTTTAGACAAATACTCGTCCGCATAGATATTTTCCAAAACAAAAACACTTTTGGGTGTTTCATTCCCACCAACTACTAATGCTGGTGGGCGGGTAGTCCCTCCGGACTACGCCGGAAGGTAGGGCGGAAGACTCTCTTCAGCCTCCTTTCAGGAATAGTGGGAATGGGTGGGTAGTGGTTCGGGTGAGAAAGATGAGACAACCGAAATGAAGACAGAAGAGAATGAAAGATTATCTGTGGAATATAACTGAACCAACATTTGCCTAAGTGATTCAAAGAAACCACAGAGTAACTTGGACCAAGGCAGACGGACCCAGAATAGAACCTGCGTCCTCCCGAATGCTAAGCAGTGGACTAAACCTCTAGGCCATGCCGCTCGGTATATCAGGAGTATCAGGAGGATTTCAGAGGCGGTTTTCGCCTGACTTCTTTTAAAATTATACAGCAACACCTTATATGTCACTTGAGTCATTCATTTTTGTAACGCCACTAAAAATTTTACTTAATTGGCATCTCGCACTGCTGTATCTTTCTCAAATCGGAGCATGCCAATTCTTCGCCCCCTGTATGTCTATCCCGAAAGTTGTCCTGTAATTAATTTTATTTATCGCACCTCCGGGGAGTCGACAGATATGCACACTGTCACCGATACTTTTTAATCTATACATCGAAGACGCGATAAACATCATTAAAGACAGCACAACTGTAGGGATAGATATACAGGAGCAAAAGATTAGTATGCTCAGATGATATAGCACTATTAGCATTTAGCAAGAGGAGTTAGAAATAGCTTTAAATAAAATGGAAGCGGTACTGACAAAACAGTACCGTATGAAAATAAATAAAAGTAAAACAAAAATAGTAGTATGAAAGTGAAAAAAAAGTAGGGAAAGAGCGAATATAAAGATAGGAGTCTAAAAATTAGGGGAAGTGACCGANTTTGTTTTCTATTGTTAATTTATATACATTTTTGTTTTAAGAAATTGCTAAACATTTTCGTCTAGTACTGTACAGATCTAACCGATCTCCTAAGACTGCCCATCGAGAGCTCTGCTCGTTCATGCTTGTTACAACTATTTCTGTCTCGCTCACGCCTAATGTGTACTCTTTCTATCTTCGCACAGATTTCTTCAAGGTCACAATTCTAACAAATTGAAATAGACTGTAACAACCTTTCCTCTAGGACTTATATTTTACTTTATTCAGCCAATCGTGGTTTGTCATCCATTCAACTGCCTAAGTCAGTAGTTCCCAAACTATGTTGTTTCGTAGACCATGTACCAATTCTTTCTGTTTTGGGTTGAGACCCCGCCTCTACGATATTGAGTTATTATAAATTCATCAACTTCAAATGTATTTTCGGCATACAACACTAATTCCGTCAGGTCCAGCTTAAATGAGCTCCAATCTAGTAGATTATCATTTTGCACTCCCAAGTTCTGTTTGTGTTGACAAAGACCTTTTGCAGTTCTAAGTCGATCCCTATAGTAGCGGGCTATAACACAGGGCTTGCTTAACGTATGCTGAACAGTAGAACTGTGCACATCCAATTTACTGTACAATGTTTTGTGATTCACCGAGCGGCATGACCCAGAGGTTTAGACCATTGCCTAGTATTCGGGAGGACGCCGGTTCGATTCCGGGTCCGTCTGACTTGTTCCAAGTTTTTTTGTGGTTTTCTTGGATCACTTAGGCAGATGCTGGGGCAGTAATATTCCACAGCTAATGTTTCATTCTCTTCTGTCTTCATTTCGTCCGTCTTATCTTTCTCATCCGATACCACCACTCAGCCAATCCCACGATTCCTGAAAGGATGCGGAAAAGGCCCTTCCGCCCTACCTTCCGGCATATAGGGAATGTCCGCCCTCCAGCATTAGTGGCTGATGGGAATGAAACACCCAAAAGTTTTTTTGTGTATGACAACCGAAACAACGAAATTTCCTATCCTGAGCTAATCTTCGCATTTCCCGAAAACTAGAACCATCCACATCCTTAACTATTTGCAAACAATAATCTAATCTAAGTCTACCTCTACTCCTCCTAACTCCCGTTTTTGCCTCTAATATGTCTCTGACTAGACCTTCATGCCTGAGAAGGTGTCCTACTAACCTATCTCGCCTATTTCTTATTGACTCCCATTGAGTCCTCTGTTCTCCTATTCATTCTAATACCTTTTCTTTTCCGCCGCATTCCAAACATACACGTTTAACAATTTTTTTCGTATTTCTAAATTAATCGTTCACGAACATAGACGTGACTTCTTTTTATTGAAGGCGACTCGACCCTGAGCTATTCTCTGCTTTGTATCCCTACTATTCCTTCCGCCTGACTTATCTGACTTCCTAGATATCTAAAACCAACCACTTCTTCTAATTTTTCGTATCCTATCTTCATATTCACTTTTTCCCTACTTTTTTTCACTTGCATACTAGTATTTTTGTTTTACTTTTATTAATTATCATACAGAACTGTTTTGTCAATACCGGTTTCATTTTATTTAAAGTTATCTCTAGCTCTTCCTTGCTAGATACTAATACTGCTATATCATCTGCAAATCTAGGCATACTAATCTTTTGCCCCTCTATATCTATCCCTATAGTTGTACTGTCTTTAATGAAATTGATCGCGTCATCGATGTATAGATTGAAAAGTAGCAGTGACAGTGTGCATCCCTGACTGACTCCCTTCCTAATATTTACTTCTCTACGTTGCTCTTCTAGCTCTGTAACTGCCTGTTGCTCTTTATACTAATTAAGTATTGTTAATGACGCAAAAAAATTTAACGCTACGTAATTTTTGCGTACGTCACTGTAAATATCATATTGGATTCCAACTGGATCAAATCGTATTGTATTCTTTCATCATTGTACTTACCTTATTGAAAAAATAATTCATGGCTTTTCCGTGTCGACAAGCCGAAAGATCTATATGTATTTTAAAATAAACCTTATTTCGATTACTGCCGGTTATTAACCGAATGACTTAATTTTAGATCGAAATACCCAAAACTACTGTAAATAAATAATAAATCTGTTTTGTATCTGTTCTTACCTGCAAGATGAGGTAGTCGACCCAGGGAATGGTCGATAAGACTATACCCATTACTAATGTGAACAGTCCAACAACAACTACGGCTAACCTACCTGCAACAGAAAATTTAAATAATTAATCAATTATTAAACGTAATTGTTGNAAAGACAGCACAACTGTAGGGATAGATATACAGGAGCAAAAGATTAGTATGCTCAGATGATATAGCACTATTAGCATTTAGCAAGAGGAGTTAGAAATAGCTTTAAATAAAATGGAAGCGGTACTGACAAAACAGTACCGTATGAAAATAAATAAAAGTAAAACAAAAATAGTAGTATGAAAGTGAAAAAAAAGTAGGGAAAGAGCGAATATAAAGATAGGAGTCTAAAAATTAGGGGAAGTGACCGATTTTAGGTATCTAGGAAGTGAAATAAGTCAGGACGGAAGGAGTATTAGGGATACAAAGCAGAAATTAGCGCAGGGTTGAATCGCCTTCAATAAAAAGAATTTAGGAATTCGAAAAAGGTTGTTAAAGGGGTATGTTTGGAGCGCGGTGCTGTACAGGTGCTAAACATGGACAGTGGGCACGACGGAAAAAAAAAGATTATAAGCGTTCGAAATGTGGTGTTACAGGCGAGTGATGAGGATACTGTGGATAGAGAAGGTTAGAAATGAAGAAGTATTAAAAAGAATAGGAGAACAGAGAACTCTATGGAAGTCAATAAGAAATAGGCATGATAGGTTGGTAGGACATCTTCTCAGGCATAAAGGGCAACACAGAGACATATTATCGTAAATAGTTAAGGATGTGGGTTGTTCTAGTTTTGAGAAGATTAACTCAGAATAGAAAAGAATGGAGGTGCGTGTCCAACCAGTCTTAGGACTGATGACCTCATGATGATGATCGCACCTCTGATGTATAGATTACAAATTAACACTAACCATATCCGCTTATATCTAACTCCCTTCCTAATATTTATTCTTCTATATTGTTGTTAAAGTTCTAAAATTGCCAATTACTCTAGATATCTATAAAATATGCCTGTGTCACACTTCTATTTTTAATGATGGTTAAAAATCTTAAGAAAGAAGATGGTACGTCCATGGTGAAACATAATTTGGTTCTCTTTATTTTATCATAATCGATTACATTTCCTTATCAGTTCCGTCGAAAGCCATTTCGTGGGGTTTTATCGGCAGAAACTACGGCGTTTTAAGCAACAATCGGTTGTCGCGAGTGCACACGCAAATTGATAACGTACAACCGGAACTTTATTTACGACGTGACTTATTGCCCAATTATACGTAGCTCGTGTATTAATTTGTCGAAGTCTAGATCCGCCCGCGATTCAGCCTAATTCATCTAAATTAATCTATTCGATTCGATATACACCGCCTCCTATGACACTAACAACCAGTGTACATGCCCGGGCACGAGAACGTTGGACCGCCGTCGAACCCTCCGCCGTGTACCCGAGTAGGCTTTGGACGGGCTGGCTGAATGGTATCGTACGTTGTTGCCGCGAATTACACACAAATCGAAATTTATCTGCGCGTTAATTAAAATACGATTAATAGAGAGATATGATAGATGGCGTATTTTGGTAACGCGTATAGTGTCTACATAATGGTCCATTTCCGGTCGCGTTCATGTAACGAACAGACGCATATAACCGGTTATAAAACTGACCGTATCAGTGTCGGAACATCGAGTTTTAGCAGAGGCACAAAAGAAATTGGAATGTTTTATAGTTTCCTTCTGTATATGGTCTGTCTGTAGTATCCCCCCCTCTTCACGATCCTCTTCTAGTAACTGTGGGCTAGCTCAGTAGCCATACGCAAAGCTAAAGGCCCCCGTACATCTGGCGGCAAAGTGCAGGAGGGAAATAGCCTACGAATATAGACGAAGATCTGGAAGCACCTGCCTGGAGTGCTATGGCAAGCTGCGAGGGGAACTGCAACTGACATTCGAACAGGTTGTAAACTCAGAACAGACCCGGTTGACTGACATTGGGGAAGAACCCGCCCTCACCGATACAGTTTGCAAGTTGAAAGGGGGGTTCTCCTGGTGGTGTCCCCGACATCTTCAATAATAATCACAGGCGCCGAAAAGTCAACGGTCCTCTGAGTGATCCCTCTGCGCCTGTGTCCATGGCGAAGTAGTGGTATGCATGAGATGGGGTCACAGAGTTGAGGGTAACCTGGCCCATTAGGGGGATTACGGCATGAAACATGTAGAACACTGCAATTAAAAATGGAACGAGTGTACAACCTGACCCATTAGGGGGGCTGTACATTCTGAGAGAAAGCAGAGTGGAGACGAAAGAAGCCCGAGCTTGTCAGGAGGCTGAAGGTTATCGGAGATAGTACGTATACGGAAGAACGCAGTCGATGGCCACTGGAGTGCATACATCAATACTTCTCGGGGGTTGTTGTTCAGAGGTCTAGCTTTGACTCCTCTCTCGCCATCTGGTGTTGGACCTAAGGGGGCAGTTGGTTGATAGCCCGTATGCTTGATGAGGAAGCTATGCAACGGGGCGTAGTCTCCGAGTTGAACGCTTAAAGATTTGGATAGACCCGAACCTGGAGGTTGGTCATTCGCCTTGTTGACTCTCAGGAACTACGGTGACTTCCTATGACTAATCTATCTGACGGAGCGGATGCCCCCAGGAAGTCCTTCATTCCATCCAAAGCATCTCTGTGCCGGTTTGACGTGTGGATAAATTTTACCAAGGCAAGCGTAAAGGGGTAGGTGACTGAATGAAAGTAAGGTAACACAAACTCTTACTTGCATAGTAATTGCGTAGTTGGTGTACAATACATTTATGGGTTGAGTTGAAAAAGGGGTGTACGGATATACATGTGGAGTATGCTTTTTCAACTACATCTACTTAAGCATATCACCTGTTTCTCTGTTAGTCGTGAACTTAGACGGCCGATAATCGATGAAGACACTGAAGACGCCATCTGTTAAGTAGAAACAGAAATTCAACCTGTTTTATTATTTAAACATCCCTAACCTAAGTTTATATTGCTTCTCTTAAAACTTCATTGCTACTGTAATGTAAGTATATTTGACAGATATATGACATATAAAGTTTTCTTATTATTATCATCATAAATAATTAAACTGCCCGCAAGTGAACATTCCATAAGTGAACTTGATTAAACAGCCGGTAATAATACCAATCGAATGTTGTAATAGTTGGCGCTGACGATTTTCGTTGTTGTTTTGTTCATGGGTCGTTGCTGCGGGCAGGTTAGTTTAAAATATATTGTTTACGGTGTGCATGTTTTAATTACAAAGGTAATAACGGCACACACAATTGTCCATAACAAACTGCATCTCGAGAGTGAATTTAATGCTGTCAGTGCCCACTGGCGGAAGTTATTTAGTGAACTAGAATTCATTAGAAACCTCGAAAATTTACATTAATTTAGGTTGCATATTAGCAGACCATAAAATTAAAGTGAACAGTCGGCCCTGCGCTGCCACCATTTCTGTTACTGCTGCTCACAGCCGCCTGCTAGAAATGAGGAATATGCACATGACTACAGTACCGCCAAAAAGTATATGTCCTTTAGAAAGAATAACTGATCTGGAAGACTGGCGAATTTTAACGGTGTTATAGAATAGGTACCAGCTCAAACCTTAACGCCAAAACAGGACACTAAGCGTTTCGATAACAACGTTATCTTCTTCAGGGACCGAAAAGAACTAAAAACTAAAGACAAGTTAAACATTTAAGGGCTGAAGAAAACTAAAACTAAAGACAAGTGGATGATTATAATGGGCAATAGTGGATTTTTCAGTTCTGCCGAACCTGACATGCTCATTGAACCTAACGTGAATTGTGCGTTCAGTTTGTCCTACATATTTCATACCATAATCTTTACAATTAATTTCATATACAACTCACTCAGAGTTACCAAGAAGAATTTGTAGGGTGTTCAGGTTTGAATTATACGCAATTCGAAAACCAAGTTTACAAAAAAATACCCTCGACTCCTATTTTGACTTGTACGGCATAGTAATAAACTGGATTTTGGATTGTTTCTTTTTGAAAAGTTCATATTACAAAGTCGTTAGCCTTAAGACTGGTTGGACACGCACCTCCACTGTTTGCTATCCTGAGACAATCTTCGCATTTCCCTAAAACTAGAACATCCCACATCCTTAACTATTTGCGAACAGTAATCTAATCTAGATCTACCTCTACCCCTCCTAACTCCTGTTTCTGCCTATAATACGTCTCTGACTAGACCTTCATGCCTGGGAAGGTATCCTATTAACCTATCTCGCCTACTTCTTATTGACTTCCATAGGGTCCTGCTCTTCTAATATCTCTTCATTTCTAACCTTCTCTATCCACGGTATCCTCGTCATTCGCCTGTAACACCACATTTTGAACGCTTCTAACATTTTCTTTTCCGCCGCACCCACTGTCCATGTTGAAAATTTGACGATTTTGTAATGAGATTCTTATCCCTACTGAATCAGTAATCGATTATATTCTTACAATTCTTCATAGTAAATTCATATTACTTTCAAGAGATTTATTTAATTTACTGAAGTAAATAAGCTTTACTTGCTAGTTCACATTAAACTATTTTCAATTAAAATTTTAATAAATCATAATAAGAACTGATCAAAGTTCTTTCCGGAATTATTCTACAAAAGAAGGAATAATAGGAAAGCTTATAACAATCTATCACGATTGAATGAGCAAGTTATTTAACAATTTAACATTCCCAGCACGGTTGACAACTTTTGCTTGATACTGTATCTAGTCGTATATTATGCATGAAGTTACTTTTTACGTCGTTTTGTATATCTTTCCCAATGCAACATAATTGGGCCACCAACTGTAATTTAGAAAGACATGTATATGAGATATCATAAAGCTAAGCAAACACCAACTACAAGAGTGCTATAATTAATGTACAAATTGGAATAAATCTATTAACTTCTTCTTATTACAAATGCGTGGATAACTGACTGATGATGGTAGGTTTTTTATAGTTATGTAGTTAAATATTTTTGGGACATGTTTAAGTTTTTTAATTAAAACAAACAATTGGGAAGCAATTCAGAAGCTTCTTTCGTCTA